GGCGGCGGCCCGGCCCGTTTCCCCCAACGTCCCGAGCCGCCGCAAGCAGGGAACGCACAGCGAATGGAGGCAAGGCAACAACCGAGGAGAAACCCAAGGTTCGGCGCACACGGGGCAGCGCTGACCGGACGACATAGCGGTAGCTCGGCCGCCACCGCGGGCCCCCGGCTCGTCAGGGACGCGCAGCCGCCCCCTCGCGCCGCCTCTTCCCGCCCTTCCCCTCCCCTCCCGGCCGTTGGGCGCGAGCTGCCCCGTTGCCAGGGGCGACGGCGGTTGAGGCGGGAATGGCGTACCCGAACCGGCGCCGCCGGGTTCTGTGAGGGACACCGGGAAACCGCTGCGGTCTTGGGGGGGGACCCCGCCACCGCCGCCTCCCCTCGGGGCTTCTCCGTCCGGGACGGGACGGGCAAAGGCGGGCTGAGGGGACACCAGAGGCGGCTTTAGTCCTCGTCCTCCTACGGAAGGGCCTGTCCCGCTGTTTGCCGCCTCTGACACATCCCATGTTCTCTGAGAAACAGCCTCCCCATCCCGACGTGGGGAGGTTTTGTGTTTCCAGTTCTTCCAGCTCAAAATTTGGAGGTTCACCACCTCGAAGGAGAGAGCAGGCGGCCCCTGACCGGCCTTTGCAGTCGGTCCGTGCAGGCCCTTTGCCGCAATGCTGGGCATTTGTAGTTTTTCCTTCTCATCGCTGGTGAACTTGCCGTATAGCCAAGCAATACGGGTGAAACTTGAATAGAAATAGCGCAACACTGCCAGGCTTCCCCGCGGGAGACTGGCTGATGACTGGATTGATTCACTGCACCTGGGAATTACAAATATTGTAGAAGGCAGGCTTTGAAACCAGAACGTCACTGAAGTCCTACATGAAGCTCCTTGGACTTTGATGGTATCTACACAATTGCTTTTACCAGTCTGATTTGTAAGCTGCTCAAAGAATGAAATCAGATATTTTTTTTTTAAAGCAAGCTCCTTTCTATAAAACCATGTTGACTAGCACTAATGATACTCACATAATGTGCTGCATTCAGCCCTTAATGACTGAACTTTGTACCAGCTTCTCCATTAGTTTGCCTAGCACCACAGCCATCTTACCTGTCCTATCCTGCTTTTGAATACCAATGTGACATGAACACCATTTGAGACTTCGGGATTTCAAGTTCCCTAAGTTGTATTAAAAATCAACAAGCAAGGGAAATCTCCAGTCAGGTGTTTTTAGGATTGCTGAGTGCAAATTATCTAAACCTACTGATCTTCAAATACTGAAACTGTAATGGAGGTTAACATCCCTCTGATGCGTAATGGCCTGACAAAGACATTGTCTTCTTTGTGCGATACACTCCGACATTTCTATGTCTTTTATGTTGTAACATGAGATCAAGGTTTTAGATCACAATCAAGTGTTTACAACCTTGAAGCCAATCAAAAAAAGATGTTCGAGCAGCCTTCTTCGGATTAACTATTAGCAAGTGAAGTGGTTGCTGCAGAGGTTAGAGAGGATAAAAGTTGTGGTAATTGTGAGACAAGATGACTTGATAACAATATTAGATATTGTGGCAGAGAGGAAAGACTGGTTCTTTTAATCATGCTGGTGGAAGGAATATCAAATGACGCTGTAAGCGTGGGTGTGGGAAGAAAATGGGAGAAAAATCATAACGTTGCCCTTGCATAGAAAAGGCAAGCTGCCTAGAGAAAGGCAGCGTCTTCCATTGCTGCAGAGGCGGTGAAATAAGACATGGCTGGCAATTGGAGAGGAAATCTGAGGTTCCACCCCAGCCAATCTGATCTGATCATCTGCCCTGAGGCTGATCAGGTTGGAGCACAGGACAGATCACTGCTGAGTAATGTATCCATGAGTCATCAGCCACAAAGCAGTAGCAACCTCCAGATGACTGAGGAAGTCTAAGTGAAATGGGCTGGAGAGAATGGTCACGAGAGCCCCGTGAGACTCAGAGAAAGAAAAGAGAAGCAGAAATGCACAAAAAAAACCCCACAAGCCCAAACCTAACCCAGTGGCCTGTGAAATGGGAGCTGCATTAGTACAAACTCTTGTTTCAGTTTTGATTGCTCTCCCCATAATACTGCTTTCTTGGCTATTGCCAGTCAGTGGAGGAAGCCCCTATGCCACCAAGTCCTAAACTGTGGAAGGCAACTCAATGGACACATATGCTGGCGCCCTGTGAATATCTTCAAAAAACACGTTGGGCTGCAAAGCACTGCAGGGATTGGGAGGCCCTCTCCCGTCTCAGATTACTCAGAGTTTGCTTTGTAACCGGGCAAAAGGTAAGGATGAAAAAAAGAACGTGTTAACTTATAAACACTCATGGGCAATAAAGGAGCATAGTTACAAAAATGAAACAATGAAAATGTGTCATTAAAATTACACTAAGCAATAATGCTTTCCTTTTGCCGCATTTCACGAGAGTTGATGGATGGCTAATTATCCTCATTTGACCCAAGATTTACTTGAAATGGAGTTCTCTTCAAACTAGTTTTCCTGCTCCTATTGTTAAAGACGTCTATTAAAGCCTCTCAGAGTACCTCCCCTGGGTGACCTGTTCTTTCCCTACCGCACTTTCCCTGCCAGCTCCTTCCTCTTTTTCCTGTTTATCCACTTCTCACTTCCTACCAGTAAGCACTGGATTATCACACAGAAAGATTTGATGGTTTCCTTCCCCCTTCCCTTCAAGGACTCCTGACTAATATTTCTATTGTATTTGCTCATTAGCCCTTTCTAGGGAGAGCTTTCTGCTGCTTTGCTGTTTATATTTTTCTGAAGGAATATTGGTAAAACATTTTATATCACATACCAAAAAATCTTGAAAGCATAATTTCCTTCCTAGACTCTTTGTGAGTGGCATGAGTATAAACCATTCATTACATTTGGCATGGGATACCTCATGCTTCCCTGTCCCTACCTACTCTGTTAATTTTAGGGAGCTGTTTCTGGATATCCTGCCATAAGAAACAAACTGAAAAGGTGGTAAAGCCCAAGTCATCAGTGAACAGGACAGCAAGGAGCAGGCCTGCAATCTCTGGGCTTGCAGAAAAGTACAAGATCTCTGATGATAAAAAAGAAGCTCTGAAAGTTATTCAGAAATAAATTATTAGCAATCTTGTTGACAGAAAACGGAGAATCTGTCCAAGTGCCACGGCCTGGGTTAAGGGCAGGCAGAGGAAGGTGGAAAATGGCTTATTTGGGGAGTTTACAAAGAAAAGCGAAGTGGAACAGACAGTTGGCCGCTTTCCAGTTGACCAGCAAGTCCAGTTTTATGGTGGATTTGTCCGCCCTGGGAACTACTGTGTTTCAGAGTCTTCTCTGAACATGGCAGAGCCGCCAGGCTGGTCTCCTGGGAGTACGTGACACTTCATTACTTGTTTCCAGCAAACTGTTTTGTCTTATCTATTCCCCAGCCACGGAGCTAACAGCTCTTTCCATTTACATTAACTTCACCTGGAAAATCCAACAAAGGATTTACAAACATCTCCCAACCTAGGCAGAATCTTTTCCTCATTCAGCTAAACATGCATTTAAAATTACATGGCATTTGACTGGCAGGAGGAGCATTTCCGTACTGTTCTTTCGGCTTCTGGTCCAAGAGTCTATTATTATCAGTCTATTTACTGAGGCACAGAGGCTGGTATCATCCCCAGCCCTCACTTTCTGCATCCAGCCTGATGCCCCAGACTCCACTTGACACCAGCCAGAGCTTGGGCATTTCCCACCTCCCAGGGGCCTGGGCTGCCCACGATGCTACGGTCCTTCTGAGAAGGATTCTGTGCCCAGCCCACCTGCCTCCATTAGCTGCATGGTGCAGTCACCGTACGCCGGTGCTCATCCAAGCCCGCCCCTCAGCACAAGGTGTGCTGCAACCTTAGATCTGGTAACAGGCTCATGGTTGGGTATAAAGTGTCACATAGATGTCATTAACGTGCTCTCTGTGAAAGAGACTCTCCCGGGGCTCCAGGTTTTGCACGTATAGTGCCTCAGACACAGTTTTTGCGTGCGCCTAGTTATAGAGAAAACACCTTCGGTTGGGTTCATGTGTCCCTATCTCAGCCCAAACTTGTGGTTTGAGTCTGTATCTCCTTTGGCTCCTGCAGCAGTCTAGCTACTAGACAGTACCATATAACTTGTGGGGCCACACAACTGTCGCTTTTTCTTTCTTCTCTATCAGGTGGCAAAGGTCACTCCTGTCAGCTGCAATGAGCAAGTCCGCCTTTGGAAAAGGAGGTGCCAGTTGAGCTTTGGCTGTGCTGGGCACGGAGGGCACACGAATAAATTGCCCCAGGCCAAGGCTCACATGACAAAATTTCTGCAAGCTGATGGCATGGGGGAATGTGACAGCTGCTGCAGAAGGACAACACTGATCCCCTGCTTGGGGACACCACTCGGGATGGAGAGGGGAGGACTTCTGCCCAGGGATCTCTCACAGACCTTCTACAAGGCATTTCTGGGGGTACTCACTCTTTGGAGAAACACCCTCACTACCAAACATCTCCCTTCACAAATACACTCATCCACTCTCTCTCTTTTCAATTTGCTAGTAGCTTTTTCCGTTCCAGGCTGGTGTTGATTTTAAGGTACTAAACTAAACTGAAACTCAAGACACCTCATTTAACATAGGCCCAAGTCTCTTCATTTTCATGCCAGATGCTGAAGTACATTTCCATAAGCTGCTGTCACACATCAAACCCACGCTCCAGCAGAAGGACTTAAGCCATTCAGTGTGACCTGGGAGAGGTGAAGGAAGCAGGTAGCAAACCAGCACACCTAGCAGACTATAGCTGTGTCTGTCATTCACCAACTAATGGAAGGGGCGCAAACCTGAAATCGCAAACTGGAAGCGGATAGGATACAGAGATCTGGTAACACGTGAAACATGGAAAGAAAGCAGCAAAAGAGATGGGTGGATCTCTCTTGTTCTCCAGATTTGCAACAGGAAACACAGAGCTCGAGGCAGTCAAGCAACATCCCTTTCAGCCGGCAGCAGCGCTTTGAAGACAAAAGCAGCTGCAGCTAAACCACCCAGCAACGCTGGCTTTGTGCAGACTTGCCCTTGCTGTGGCTTCTGACCAGACATTCTTGCTTTCCCCTCCTTGCTGCAGCTTTCCAGCCACCTGCTGCCACTTTCAGCTTTCTGCTGCTATATATATATATTCTTTTTAATCTCTCTTTAAGCCTGCCTACATTTTTTGAAGGGAAGATGAAACTAGATTTTTTTTTCAAGCCAGGTTTTCAAAAGAAGCAAGTTTTATGTGATCTGCCAGGCCAGTAACTTTTTTTACCTTCTCTTGCGCCACATTTCGGCAGAGAGTGTCTGTGGGGCGAGTGCGTAGTATCAGAACGCACCTTCTGGTGGGGTCACTGAGACAGCATCCCAGCACCAGCATGGCATCCCCACCTGCAGCACTGTTTCCCTTGCCCCATGGCACCACAGGCTAAACACTGCCTCCATGTGTGCACAAGGGAAGGGTGTCAGAACAGGACTTTTCCTGCAGCACTAGAAACAAAAATCTGGCCTCGCTGCAGGGCAGTGACAGCAGGGAATTCACTTAGACAAGGTTTGTGGTCAGTATGGGACCTGACAAGCAATATTTTTATGCATATCTGTGTATATATGTGTGTGTGTGTGTATATACATATATAAAAACCCATAAAATCTGACTGCCTGAAGGAAACTGCAACAGGTTTGCAGGAGGACTAGCTCCCTGCAGGAGCGGATGTCAATTTAATGAGTCAGCATTTGTTTCAGACAGGTACAGGCCAGCCACAGTTGTGCATAGCAGGCCAGCCTGCTTATCACATTTGTTCCCAGGCAGGAAAGCTTGAGCTGAGGAGCACCCATCTTCATTCAGCACAGCTCTCCTGCTTCCTTATTTGCTTGACTTGCCCCAGGCTCCTCTTCCCTCATACACCCAGCTCTTTTCCTGTGCCTAACACACTGCACCCGCTCCTGTTTAGTTTGTTGGCCAGAAAGCAGAACTGCATAGGGCAGGGGCAACCCAAATTCTATTTTCTTCACTCTGTTGCTATTGAGACCTTCTGCTGAATTGGGAGAGAGAAAAAAGAAAAAAAAAAAAAACAAACCAGGGCGGAGGAAGATGAGTATTAAGGTTTTTACTCAGGTGTCCCAGCAAGAATTTAGGCTGCCTTGGATCACCTCTCTACTCCAAGATGGCTCCTCCTAAGCACCTCACTCCCTATTCCTACCGCAGAAGCTCACCCCGGTGCTGTGCAGAAGAGTACAGAGGAGGCACAGACAGACACTCACAGAGACAAGGGTCTTTTTGTTTTTTTGAAGCTTCTGCTGAATCTATGCCTGGCAAGCTCACCGGGCTGAAAAGAGGCACTCACCCTTTTCCTCTTTGGTGCTGTCTCAGTTGCACCCAGCAGTTCTCAGGAAGGTGGGGCTAGACCAGAGATTGTGACTAATTGTTATTAATGGTGAAGTAACTGTACTCCGCAGCCTGAGGCAGGGGAGAAACCCTGGCCCTGGCAGCTCTTCAGTTCAGCTCCACCCTACCCAGAACTGGAGGTCCAGTTCTCTGCAGCAAATGGAGGCTACTATGAGTTAGAAGCACCTTCGCTGTAATCTGGAGCCAGGCACTTGTTCTGCATGCTGCCTTTTCCTGTCTGCCCCATGCCATCTTACTCCTCACCTGGAGAACTGGTGGGTTTGAAGCAAAGGGAGAGAATCACCCGTTTTCTGTGCTCAGAAGAAACACTCCCGAGGCAATGCGCTTACTTAGATGTCCAAGAACTGAAATATAAGGAATATATATATATTAATACTTCTATCTGTCCATTATTAGCACAGGAAAAGAGATTCTCTTCAGAGACTTCTGGGTTCCTCTTCCTCATTATGCAAAGCCCTCCCTCCCATTAGTACCCCTGCACTCAAAGGCCACAGAAGGGAAGACGAAAGAATAGGAGGCTTGTGAATCCTGCCATGGGATGGGACCACATACAAGGCAGCTGTCAGGATAGGGTATGCTCACCTAAAGAGTAGAAATATCATTTTTAGAGAATTTTATGAGAAATTGATCTCATTCCACATTTAGCATTTTGCAGACCCAGAAAGGCACTGTGGAATGGGTACCTTAGGGAAGCGAGCTAGGTGCCATGCACAGAACAGCAGAGATTTTCCAGCTTCGAGGCACTTCCCTGAGCTCTGCTCAGCAGAAGCAATGCTGCTGGCTGTGGTGGAAGTGGAGCACAGCCCCAGCAAATCACAGGTAGGAAGTAAATGTGTGTGTGAGTGTGTGGGGCGAGAGAGACAGTGCAGGGCTGTTTCTGGATCTCAGCAAGAAAGGCCTGACAACAAATGGCTTGATAAAACAGCTGTTTTAATAAGACAGAATAGTCTTATGTCCCTCCAGATGCTGGGAACACCACATTCATGAAAAAGAAGCATGTTAGCTCTCAGTATGATCACACGTAAGTATTACAAAGGAATAGTTGTATCTTATACTATAGGCAGTGCATAGCAACATATGTTATGTCACAGCTGACCTGAATAACCAGACACTGTATTTCAGCTCTCAAGAGGAGCATCTCTAAAACTGCGTGCCTGAAGTTTCCCTTATTACATAAGACTCCTTACATCTTGCTTTCTTAAAGAAAAAAGTTGCAGATAAAAACATCCCGAACTTTGGCAAAAGCAAGGCACTCAGATACCATGGGGTTTAATTAGCCTTGGGCATTTAAATTCATTGCACTATACAAAAAATTTCGGCCTCAGAAAAAGTACTGAAAAAAAGTTAAGATGAATAAAGCAGCAAATTTTTATTAATGCACTAAGCTGATCAAGCATCTCTCAGTAGTAAAATATTCCAATATTCAGGACCTATAAAACTCTGCACCTTCCTCTCCCTTTGGTATAAGCGTGGCTCTAAAAGCATCCTTAAATTAGACCTTAATTTGTCATAGCAGCCTTCTCCTCTGTGATGACAACACAGAGGTTCTTCAGACTGTAAAAGAGACCTCCTTCTTTCCACAGTTAAAAAGTCTAAGGCATCTCAGCACCAGTCCCCGTCACCTCAGACCTGTAGGGCTACATCGCTATCATTAGGGGTGGTCATCTTAACACCCACCTATGATAACATGAATCCGCAGTGCCAGATTACCTTCTTAATGGACTTGGGAATTCTGAATAGCTAAAGGTTTCAGGGGCAAATACTCTCAATTGAGATTTTTCTGTTTAAAAAGACCTTATGGACTTTGTATGCCCTCCTAAAGCCTAATGTGAAACAAAAATCGAAGTGTGTCAGACCTATAGAACTTTCAGTTTGCCTCTAGAAACTGGGACAAGTGAGTGTAAGCTTAAAAACAGAAAGCAAGATCTGTTTCTGGACTTCACCTCTCTGCTCCTTACCCTCAGCTATTTATCAACTCTTTAATATTCCAAAACCAAAATAAAACCTGAACAAGGCAACACACTGCAGTCTCCTTCATGTAACTGCAGAAGAATTAATGACTATGAAAGAGGAAACAATTGAAAACCCAAGAAAAACCCCTAGAGTTTTCCCATTTCCAAAAAATAAAATTATTCTTTGCAATGAAGTTTTCAGTTCAGAATTTTGTAATCAAAATATGTATAGGAAACTTTCCCATGCCTTCCAAGGGAAACATTTTCAAAGGGAAACCAATTCCTACATGGTACACCTGATAAAAGAGGACAAGAGAAAACAAACGCTGCAGCTCTTCTCTTTACACATTCTTTACTATTGTGCTTACCCTGGTCTGTGGCCAAATGTCCTTCTGCTGACATTTAAGACAAAAAGGAAGAACGTGAAAGGCCTGGAAAAAAAGGAAGCAAACCAGTAAAATGCTTAACTTGCAAAATCAGGAAGTCATTGGCAATAAAACATACTGCACTGGTAAAGGACTGGGACTAGATGATACCAGCCTTTCTGTGATTTAACACAATTGAAAAATAAAGATCAAATGAAGCCCTAAAACTTTGTCCTTCATCTGATATGAAAAGTCAGATGTGTTACTGCTAGTGATAGCTGCAGTTTGTTGCTTGGTCTAGAACAGAAAAGTTTCTCAGCAACTGCCTTCAGCTCTGTACCAGCCTACAGAGTTCCAGCAAACGCACTTCCACTACATTCAGCTGCAGCTCATTTGTAGCCACGAAACACTGTGTGACCCCAGGCCTGAGCCACAGAAGGCTGCTTACCCCCAGTCAAAAGCTGCGGAGGAGTTGGGGGGAGAGCGACTAAAGGCACCCAGTAATGTGCTCCTGCCTTCCGAGATGAGCACAGGGCACTTCGCCCACGTTGAAAGTGAGCTCTGGCACCAGACTAGAGACATCAATGCAAGGTGGCACCTGAGCTAGGGAGAAAAGAGTTATTTGTTTGAATACACTGCTCTGCTAACGCGGCTATGAGGCTTTTGGGAGCCAGGGTGGAGCTCTGCATGGTCCTACCACTTCAGAAGGCCACAAGCTGGGTGCTCTGCACCACAGATGCTGTTTTATTGGGCAACAGTTTTACGGAGTCACTGGTCCTGACTCTGAAGCCAGACCTGTGGTCATTCTACTGATCTCAAGGAGACGTGGATTTCACTAATAATGCAAAGGAAAACCAGCAGTATTTCTCACCTCACTGAATGTTTTTAGACTGGAATACAGCTCGATGACTCCACTTACAAAGAAATAGTTGTTTGATAGAGCAGCTTCCAAGTTAAGGAAACCAGACGATGACTCAAAAGATTAATTCCAATCCCATATTCCAAAAGGAAACCTCAGATGTTACAGAGCATTTGTAACAATCATTAGCTTGGAGGAAGTCAGAAGCAACAATATTAATGTGTGGGCACTATGGTTATGTTGTCCATCCCAATCTTGGCATTCCTGCCTCTGCATGAGTTGGGGGACTTCTTTCAAGCAATTTTAACTATCGCTTCACAAAAGACAGGACTATGAGCCTTCCTTGCTTCCCAGAGTTAACACTGGAAAAATAAATTGCAGAAATGTCAATGACTATTTGAACGGGTCCTCTTTTGAATCCCTTATTTTTTAGATTTTCTAAATCTTTTTAAAAAACACCCCCCCGCCCTAAAAAAAAAAAAAAAAAAGGAAAAAAAGGAAAAGAAAAAAAAGAGAAGTATCTTTTCTTCATTCTCCTAAAACTGAACTAATTGAAAAGATATGAGCTGGCCCCTTTTAATGCCCCACCCCATCAATATATTTAGGGGCAAATTTAACAGTTAAAAAAGGAAAAACATTAAACCAACTTTACGCAAAATCTGGTTTTGAGACTTGCAGATATTTTCTTCCCCAGACTTGCAGAATTTTTTCATTTTTTATCTCCATTATAATGATTTTTGCCCAGGTTTACTGCAATGTAAGAAACAGATATATAAGCATTTCCTCACAGTCCTAGGTTTTATTATTAATTGTTAATAATAAAATTATGGCTACTTTAAAACTCAAATAAAAACAATATAAAAACATGGTCATTAGAGTATTATATACACACATAACAAAACAGCTTAATACAACTGTACTCATATCACAGTTTTCTATTGTATCTAAGAGAGTATACTTTAGTACATAGCAAATAGAGATTCAGATTTCAACTTCAAATAGCCACTTTATATTTATTATAAAAATACTAAATGAGATTTTTAAAAAGCAATCCTGAAGTCCAGATGTAACTGTAATATGTTAACTGCACAGAAAACACAACTTTTGGGAGCAACTGTAAACCACAGAAGGAAAAAATTATTTCTGATGCAAGTTCTTATCCAGGAGGAATAGACTGGCTTCCTAATCTCCAGGTTGCTTTTGAACATAGGTACATTCCCTCATCTCAGTTTTTCTTGATTTTTTTTCATTCCCATATCTTGTATGAATACAGACTCCAGAAAATTTCACATGCGATTTCTAACACCTCCTGTCTTCAACGTATCTAAATCAGATACCAGATGCTCATTTGTATTGCTACAGCAGCCCGAGTTTACAGTCTTGTGAAAGATTTATTTGATGAAAGTGTATAATGTCATAGCAGCGTGTCCAGTTCAGAAACTCATTCCCAGGACTTCCTATAGTGCTCGGTATGGCACAAGTACAATAAGCATATGGACCTCTTTATACTAATGGCACTGACATGAAAGCACTTTTGAGTTAAACCGTACATCTGGTGAGGGGGACTACTGTGATCTAATTGTGGTTCATAAAAAAAATTTAAAAAAATACAGGACTTGAGTGCAGCTTCCTTTACATGATGTGCATTGACAATGCAAACCAGCCTTCTTCTTTTTGCTTTTCCACCTGCAAAAGAAGAAACTGAAATTCATACATCATAAATTTCCCACAGACTTGCTAGTTAGTGCTGGCTTGCATAGGATTGCTATGTAGCAATTGTCTGCCATCGGCACTGTGGAGGGAGTCACACCACCTACTTTAGACACCTACTTTAAGCCCCATCTACCTTAAGTACTCCAAATTTCCCCTCTAGGGACGTATACTTTGCTGTCCTGATAGGGAGTCTTGGACCCTAACTTTGTTTTTTCTCTTTATCACTCCTAATTAAGGTTATTTCAGACATCAGGAAAGATGGTATTGGTATATCCTCATGTTTGCCTTCAAGCATATAAACAGATCTATGACAGGCTTACCAGACTGTACTACTCCCTGGAGTTCCCCATGAAAGCTGTAGTCTGTTTTCTTTGCACATCAGGAATCAAAAATCTAGACTGGGGATTTTCTTTGCATTTGGATTTATTTATCCTTCAGCAACTGACTTGTGCGACAGCAAGGTAAGAGCTTGCTTGCCTCTTACACATGGCTCTACCAGTACATCATAATGATTACTTGAAATTCTCTGGAGGCACCAGTGAAAGACTGCCAGAGCTTCCAAGTTCTAATGCACGAAGATGCCACAGCAGAAGATATACTTAACAGGATTATTCACTTCTAAACAACAGCTCTGTGGCAGCAAACAACCAATGTCACTAGCACTCAGGTCTCCCCTGACCAATCATCCAGAATCCAAACTGCCATGAATCGATTACTATTAGCCTTGGTAGATTTAAGGTAGGACAGAGCTCTCTCCCCTTCTTTATCTGTCTTGCTTTTTCCTTATATGACACCACGATCGAACTTTCTGGCTGAAGATTTTTCAGTCTTACCTTTGGCCTTTGGCTGACAGGAATTAATTTCACGCTTTCTGATGAGGCACTTAGGGGTGAACAAGGTTTGCCAGAGTCTCCTACAGACCTGTAGACATTCAAAATGAGATTGAAAAAGTGAAAAATGGAAGTCACTACTAGAATCATGTCTCAGATCCTGCATTAGGACCCCTCATCAATAGTGTTCAACAACGCATGTCATCTGTATTTTAAATATAAACAACGCAAGTTCTGAAAAAGCTATTGGACCTTTGTCCAACTTCCACAGAGTTGAGTGTGATGAAGTCAGGGAAAGTCTGTGAAGCTAAAGAAAAACATGGCAATTTTTCCATTGTGTTCAAGTTCTGCTGCACGGGTAATCAAGGCAGTACAAAAATGAAATAGTAAAGGGTTAACTTTTACCTTCTTATACTGGTCATACTGGCAGGGGAGACACTATCTTCTTTGGAGCTGTCCATAGCAACTGCCATGGGAATAGACACGTTGATTGTCCTCCTTGCATTTTCTAGGCAATAAATAATAGCTTGATTCCAATGAGAACACAGCAACATTGCACAACATTCATTTCATTTTCCCATTTTTGGAGGGGGATCACATAACTCTTCACAATTGCAGAGAATATACAGATCAGACATAAAATGTCAAGCTAAACATCAACCCCATACCCACTCTCTGAAAATGACAGATATTGAAAGCAGATAATCAAAGCAACTATGGACAATGTGCACATATATAGAATGATTCTTCCATAGATAAACCTTCTGGGTTTTGGCAATCAGAGGCTTAGAGACTTCCGATTTCTCTACTTTGTTCCTTTAAGATTTTACTTATCATGCTGAATTTATGTTACGACAGCTGTAGAAGTGTTAGAAGTGTTACAATCCCACTGCATGAGTCATTGCATATAGACCTACATGCATATGCACACACACATATGTGGTCTCTCCTCCCCCTCCTTCCTCTGCCCCTCAAGTCCTTCCCTTTATAGATCCTCTGTGGTTCAGGAAAGGGGAAAGGGCAGGTGTCCTAGACAGAGCATGTGTACATTCTCACATGCAGTTCTGCCTGTAATTACAATGACTCCATGAAGAGATAAAGTAGCCCTCACCTGTTGGAAAGTATTTTTGTTCATAGTTACACATAGCAGCTAATCTATGAATCTTGAATCAGCAAGAACATTCCCTTTGCTAATTTACGTCTTCAGATGACTGGAAGCTCCAGTTATTTCTTTCTATTAGCACTGGCAGTAACTCAGCAAGGCAGTCTGATGGAAAGAGCACCCAGAAGACCAAAAACTAAAATGTGGTTGAGAATTGGATAACCACTCTGCCGTGATTTTTAGAAACCTGATGTAAATACTTAGCTTGTTTATAAAAGATTCTCCAGCAGAGAGGACTGATTAAAAAGCCTACTTCTGCCAATCAGTGACTGTGTAGCAGAACTGTTCTGCAGACAAGGACATAGCAAAGAATAGATTTACCATGAAGCATGATATTTGCAGCAGACTAATTACTAAGAAACTAACCTTAGGAGAAGTTTAGCTGATGTATTTTTAGCTCTCTGAAGCAAGGAGTGTTTGTACCACACAGTCATTAACAGCAAGTGTACTGCTGACCACAACTGTTGATCCAATCAGCTAAGGACAGAGAACTCCCAAAAGGGGAAAAACATTGTCTTACTAGTTTTTGTTTCTCCTGAAGCTGGGTACTTACCAGTATAATTTAGGGATGGGGACAGAACAGGAGATATCATTGGAGGGACCACATCAGCAGCAGCTAATTTCTGTTGGTCTATTAGCTGCAACAGTTTATCACGTGCTTCTGTACTCTGACGATTCAGCTCTGCTATTCTTTCCTCCAAGCTCTTTGATACCATGAGATGAGTCTACTTGGATAATCACTTAAAATTAAAAACTTACAATTTGCACCTTCAAGGAGAGCATGCAATATATTTCAAGTACTTCTATGAATTTAATTTTCAAACTGAAAGTAAACATAATCATATAGCACCTCCTGTGAAAAATCTCATTTTGTCCCTTTCGCTGTTCTGTATCTAGGTCCTTAATTGACTAAACACAACAATATTTTAAACTGGTCTTCCTACAAGTAGAAATAAAATAGCTATTGTCTCTACCAGTTAAGGAGAAAGGAAAAAAAAATAAGAAAACCCCCAACCATCCAACAATTAATCATAATTAAGAAAATATTTAATCATAGACACACATATTCAGGAGGGTGTGGGGAAGCAAAAGCAGATTTCTAGCAGAAGTATCCTGGAACTCATCTTTAAACCAGGTTTTCACCCACTTTGACCTCTTCCCCTCCCCCTCCATTAATTGCTTCCACAAAACCAACACTTTAAAAAGTTTCCATCATCTTGTACAACTAAATGTTACACAACATAATACAATGGGCAAAGTGACAACACTCTCAGCCTACAGTTACGTGAGGAAATTTAAAACCTTTGGGATCCTTAATTGAACAGTAATTCAGCCACTGTGACGGAACAGAAGTAAAGACAGTAGCAAGGGCAGGGATTAGGCATTTCTGTATTAACTCCACTCACTGGGGTGCCACTGAATAGCTGCTTAGTTGCAGATTAAAGGTTTTCTATGTGAACCAAAGCCTTCAAGCTCTCTCCCAAAGATTTTGGGATTTTCACCACACAGCAGGACTGACAAGACAGATCCAACTAGTACATACACTATAATCAAGTATTGCAAGAGGTGTACCTGCACTAACTTTAACTTTATGGGCTTTTGGGTCACAGTAGCAGAAGAGATGTATGGCTGGATTTAAATGTACATTTTACAAGCTTGATAAGAACCTGTGGATTGGTGCAGTGCTTTCACTGTTAATATTACCCAAGCTACAAGAGGTATACCTGATCATGTTGCAATCACACATCTTTTTGCAGCATAACCTTATCTTAAACTTATAAACGTGCTCCACACTTTTCAGCACTCATATACAACATAGGTGCAATATGAGAACTGTTGAGCTCCTTGGGGAGCTCATACTCTCATAAGCTACTGTTGAGCTCCTTGGGGAATGATAAAAATCACAAGTCTCCAAGCAAATGAATGAAAAGAATATTAGGGTTGCTACTCTTTTCCTTAAAACAACTGACACCAGGAAAGAAACAGTCTCAAAACATCAGTAAGCTATGGGAAAGCAGATGAGCAGAAAGGGGAATCCAGCCTTCCTTTTCTCTTAAATTCTCACCTGTCCTTGTGAAGAGTCTGGATTAGGATTTGCATTTTGTATTGGGTCTGGCTGATGTAGGCAGTCACTTGTGTCTTCAGAGAAGCCTCTGAATTTGCTCAGTTGAGCTTTAATTAGGGAGTTCTGCCGTGTAAGCTCAGCTATCTGTCCCAGTAGATCACCGTTTTGAAATAACTCTTTAGCTGTGCTGTTTTTTCTAGCGTCACCTGGGCAGGACAGACTGATTTTCCCATGGGAACTCTCCAAGTCTTTGTCTGCAGGAGGAACTGGTTGCCTTCGAGAGATGAGACAGTTTTCCTCAGTTGTGCTCTGTGTTTGCAGGGAAGAAGGTGAGCTCCTTTCCTTGCATGGTTCTCTTTCAGTGTTTTCAGGAGACTGAGAAATGACTGTAAACACTACAAACAAGAAATAAAGGAACAGTAAGGAAAGGGACATGTGATCCTTATCAAGGAAATTAACAGTGACTTTATTGCATCAGACTAGTAATAATCAAGCAGGAACTTGAATTGTAACACCTAGCCTGAATGATGTTATGTTACTGATCAAAATCACTCTATGCAAGACCCTGCTGCAAGAACTCACCAGGTTTAATATTTCCTATTGCAAATAGTCTTACATTTAAATGATTTATTTAGAGACTGAAAGAGAAGTCAGAGAGAAGAATATAAATTGCTTTGAATTTCTTAGCTGATAGATCAAACACTACTTTTTAGTTAGTCTTCCATTTTCCAAAATCCAGTCACCTTACCTAATAAACTGTAAGTTTGCATTTCAGCTCTGATATTTATACTGGGCTGATAACAAAACTTTTAGAATAATAAAACAAAATAATACAAGACTTTTGGCATAATAATAAACTAGCTATTTACTCAGCCTCAAAGAAAGGGTAAGCACTCTGGCCAACAAAAGTAGTTGGGTACTTTTTGTGGTCATCATTAGCAAACAGATAACACACCACATACACATGAACAAATATGTTACGGCACCGTCAGCTGCTACATGTTAAGTCCTAGTTGGATTTTGTGATCAAAACCAGTTTTTCTATGCTTTATATACCAAATAGCCCATTCCATCCCAAGCTTTAGCTTTTGCCTCTTGAGCAGAGCATGACATTTAAAAATTTACACACAAATCTGGTTTAGGAATCACTTTTCCTAAAGAAACATTCAAGAAGTTTAACATTTGTTGAGCCATTTAGCATCTTTAATGGTTTTAAAAGAGTAACAATACATTTCTTACATAGCTAAACTGTAGTGAAGTCTAGGAACATGCAGTTTTATATTCTCGTTTCAAATGCCAGACATCTGACAGTTCTCAGTGGGACTGAAACCAGATGTTGCTCTTTTCCTCCTGATTTATTATGTGCCTCCTCACACCACAGCAGCCCACCAAAAGGTTGAACTAGATATAAACTTCCAACTGCCCTGCCAACTCCTTAAAAATCAAAAAGACTTTCAGGTTTTCTGACTCAGAAAAGAATTACAAAGCAACACAGCTGAAAGGGGGGAAAAAGGAGGAGGGGAAGCACAAAACCCCACCACTGTGCCCTGCTTCCTGTCAGCAACCATCAGGCTAGCCATAGATGTAATTACCCACCTCTCAACAACAGAGGGTTACAGGGGCATACAGTAAGATGCATGTGGTTACAATGACAGCTGCAGGAGGAAACAGCTAATTTTGAGAGTCACAAAGGATCCTCCCTTCTGCTCACTTCATTTCCCTGATCACCCCGATGAACTTTCTTCCTTCCAACAACCACAGCTGAGCTACCAACCTATAAAACTCCTGAAGCCTATGGATATTGACACAAGACTGAGTTAATCTAGTTATCCAGCACCACATAATTTCAACAAAAACAAAAACTTCTTCAGCTGCTTCCTGTGTATTGAATGAAATCCATACCAAAACCTGCTCCCAAAGCTTTTAGAAAAATCTCTGCTGGGAAGATTGGCTCAAAGCAAGAGTATGCAGCCTACAGACATCCTGGTTTGTCTGGAGTATGGGCTGTGGAGGTACGAATTTCCAATCTTCAGTGGTCCCATCATGAACGGTGATGGAGGCTGGATTACAACATCAGCAGATGGAGATCTGAGATGATGTGCTGTAGGTCATACACAAACTGCTACAGCAAATCATACAGAAGTGACAATCAAAACCAGTACAAGATGGAAATGCTGATCTGGATTGCAACTGACAGGACTCAGACAGCAGATGGAGAACTGCAGAAAGGGGACAGAAAGTCTAAAGGAAATCTAACAACAGGCATAGGAAGAAAAGAAATGCATAGCTGGGGGCAGAAGCAGGATATTCCAGCTATAGGGCCAAGGTGTCTAGGCATACACATTAAAAGTTTTCATAGAAAATACATTTCTAAAGGTAATGAGAGTCTGGGAGATTGAAATAGTAACACACTAAACAGACTCCCAAGTCTACTACAGCCAGAGAGATCTCACCGTTCTGGAGTGGAGACAATTCCTGACTGCTCTTCTGCCGGGGAGGTGACAACAGCACAGCTGGCTGGAAGATGTGGGCTGGCAAGCTTCTACCAGCTCCGCCACCACCTGAGGCACCTGGCCTCAGGGGAAACTTGGGAGGAATTTCTTCCTGTGGGAATTTCATCATACCTTCCCTTTTGCATGCATCAGCACTAGGCTCAAAATAGCTCGAATCAGGTTCTTCTAAAGAAAGAGACAAAGCAGAGACAGAATTAGGAAAAAAGGGGGAGAAAAAAAATTAGTTTTAGTGCAACAGAGAAAATTCTCAGTAACAACTCTTACATTCAAGTATCTGAAAAGACAGACTAGAGTATCTTCCCCACACACTGTTAACTTCCTTCTGATCCCTAGATACAGAACTCTTTCAATGGAGCATAACACAAATCTTCACTGGCCTTAAGAACAAGAAGAGCTATTGTATATAGCCTCACAATTTCAGAATATTAGTAAGAGATCTGTTTGTAACTCATGCACGAGACTTACAGACAAGTGACTTGTGAGGAACAGGTATTTCAGTGAGCTGCATTTGGTATATTCTCTTGAGAAAAGCAGACCTATGCACTTGTCCTAATGAACCTATATTATAAATTTTATGGCAACAATGGTGGAGTGGAAAACAATTCAAAGCTTTGAGCTCTCTCATGATCTTTTTATGACTTAATTCAAATTAGACATCTTCAGTAAAAAAAGTTATTCTTCTGTATTTAACTTCAACTAGTGTATGTCTATCTTGCCATCTCTTTTGAGCATACCAGGGAGGCACAAAATGAAAAGCGTGAAATCAAAGTTGTAGCTAGCTGTGAGACCACAGTAATTTTAATAAGCCTACATCCACTGCTCCATCATTGCTATCTTTGAATTTTCTCCTCACAATTTTGTTCAGACCATTTGTTCCCAAAAGAGAGGTTAGTGGAAAATTAAGCAGAACATACCTGATCCCAAAATGCAAGAGACAAAAAGCACCCTTCAAAGGCAAAGAGGCTATTCACATAAGATAATGCTTGTGGTTCACACTACTGAGGTTCTGAGATTGAACTTAAAACCTGCCACCCACTATTCAATGACCATGGCAAGAAATGAGAAAGATCTTCCTGCCCTGTTTCACTGTACAGAACTGCATTTCTAAAGTATCCTCCTCACATGCTATTTGTCACTATGATATGCCCTCCACTCCTCTCTCAGCCACTCTTGCCTCTCCAGGGAAGTCCTGTGTTAACTTATACATGGTTTCTGTGCTAAAACTAGCTATCTCAGATGTTTCACATCCAGTCAGGTGCCTTAAGGGTACAAGAGATCTCCATCTGAAGGAAGAACAAGAAATAGTTTTGTAACTTTAGGAAACTTTCCTCTCAGGAAGATGCCTTTTCCTGAGAGCAGAGACCAATAAGGAAAAAAGATTTGGAAATTCTAGTCTTGCAGAATTGTTGTATAAGAAGGTTTAGGGTTTGGTGGTTTTTTTGTTTGGTTGGGGTTTTGTTGGTTTTTGGTTGTGGTTTGTTTTTTTTTTTTGAGGGGTGCTTTTCTGATTGTTTGGGTTTTATATTTGGGGGTAGGCTTTTTTGTTTGCTTCTACAAAGCCTGGGTAAATCACAAAAAAGGGATCTGGTGTGTGGCTTCTTCCTGAGAACCCCACAGAAGCAGTCAGGAAGAAAGTTTTTGACCAAAAAAAAGGTCCAGAAAACCAACATTAACTAAGGAATACAAATAGCTCCAAGGAATCTTGGGATTCATAAGGAGTTACTGATCTTGAGAACAAAAACAATGCATTTAAGCAACCAATCAGGGATGACAGGTCGGGAAAACTCCATGGTGAAAGAATGTAAAAAGTACAATGTGAATCATGATTGGTTAGTTTGGCCATCAATGCTACTGGCTTAACTTAGTCTGCGGCTATGTTATATATCACTCAACTGGTCATTCACCTCTGATACGAAGTCGTAAGTGTCAGACTTCTGCCTGGTTAGTTACCAGGACTCACCAGCTGCTGTTTCTGGTCAGCAGCGACCTCCAGTGTCTCATGGAAGAACCAGTCTCATACTGTCAGGCTGCCTCAGCAACAGGAAGGTGAGATCCTGATTCAGTTGGTGGTTTGTTTTTTTTTTTTTTTTAGGACCCTCAGAATAAACTTCACTTTGTAAGCCATCTTAACGGGTGAAGGCTACTCCCCCCCCCCCCCTTTTTTTTTTTTTTTTTAATATAACATATTATGTATCACTTAAAGCTCAAGCCCAGGACTTGGCTAAAAGGTTAATCTTGAAGTCCTGATCCACATAGAAGGATGCCAGTGGGGATGGAATACAACTTATAATGTTAAAAAATAATCTGTAGCAAACTGCTTGTGCTCACAGCAGAACCCACGGCCTATGAATTTCCAGAAGTGAGATTCATGCTCACGCAAGAGGTATTTATTCAAGTAGACTTCTATTAAACACCAGATTTTCCACTACAGGGATAAACTACCCACAACTCCCATTTCATCCTTCACACATGCATGCACACACCTTGCCCGTTCACTGGGCCTTTGCTTGCAATTCCAAAATTGTTTGGACTTTGTTCTCTTCTAGGTTCTACCAAAGGGAGGCCTTTAAATGCTTGTGTGAGAGAGATCAGCTGTTCATCTGTTACCATCATGTATTGCTGAAGCTTCTTCTAAAGGATGAAGGAAAAACAGAAAGAGATACAGAAATTTGTATTCTAGCAACAGAAATTAGATTATATACCACAGGCAGCTCCGAGAAGAAGTTTGGTCTCTTATTACCACTACATGAATCTGTGGGATTCCAGTGAGGTATTAAATATTGATGTCTCCACGTTTCTCATTTATTTTCTCTCCTGCCTCAAAGAAATTCTTTGGTTTTCCCTTTTCCTAACTCATCACCCCATTTCCTCTCTAATGCAGCTTTATTCCTTCATTCCCAAATGTAACCATTGAACAATCTACCTCCACTGCAAACTGAAAAAAAGGAAAATGTATTATATCTAGTCTACTCTGTTGCTCCAGTAGTGTTAACAGTATAGAAGTGTGGAGGCAGATGCTTAAACCTTTACATTGATAAAGCAAAGCTCAGTTTAATGGAACTAGCATTTTCTCAGGCTTTAAAGTTAAACATGAAACAGGAAGATAAAATGTTGACTTTCCAAACATTCCTTCCCCCCCGCCGTGCCTGCTATTGTCACTGTCAGACTCCTCATTCAATTTTGTCATTTTCTTCCTGTTTATTATTAAAATCTCCCGAACATACAACAATGCATCTCAGCACACATTTGCAACACAACTCAGCATTCTAACAAGTCATTCTGAGGGGGATGGGGGCTCGGTACCTGGATAGTAGTGTTTTCTTCCCTCACTAGAAGTATTTCTGCAGTCAGAGCATCAATCAGTTCTCTGTGTTCATTCAACATCTTCTCATGCTGCTGTCTCATCACCTCTTTCTCACGCAGCTGCATTTCACTCTAAAGAGGGAGAAAAAGTTAAAAACCTGCTATAACCAATACAGATTCATATTTGGAAACAGGAACGGGTCCATATCACATCATACTGTAGCACCTCTTCCCCCTTTTGCTAAATTGACTTCATTACTTTCATGACAAAATCCAATTTTCAGGGCTTGAGAACTGTCAGAAAGCTTACTGTTCCTTCTTTATTACTCCAGAACACTGTAGGGAATCCTATACATCCTTGTTCTTCTGCCTTTACAACTTTTACAGGCTGTAACTGCAAGCATTGTCTCTCTGCACGGATACTGTTTTGTAAGTCACTGTATCTTCATGCAGTAACTGAATAACTCCAGGTGTGCTGGTGCTTGTCAGTATCCTGTGCTACTTGTGTCTATTCTTTAGTTGCCTTAATTCATTAATGAAGACAAATTTGACTAAATGAAGGAGAAAGTAGTTGCTTTCTAATGTTTTCCCCCAGAGAGAGAAAAAGTTCTAGAGGGTTTCATTTATTTTATTTTTTTAAAGAAGACAAAAAGGTTTATTTGTTAAGTAATCCACTTGAGCATGAGGCAAAAGGCCTTACTGTAGAACCTCTTGCCCTTAAAAGATACTATCAATCTGTTATCTCAGGATAGACCACTGCAGTAGCCAGGCATGCTGTACAAGACACAAAAGAGTCCCTTCCACCTCTAATGGGTAAATGGAATACATGACTGCCACTTTTTGGACCATCACAGATGAAAGAGCAGAGGCTACCAAGTCCCATAAACACATCAGAATTAGCAGATGGAGCCCTTCCCCAGATGATTGCCTGCATTTACTCAAGGGAATCCCTGAATAAGAGAAATACATCCCATCTCCAAAACACAAGAGATCCTGAAAAGCAATTGGGGTACTCTTTTCTGCTGCCAGCCAAAATTAGAGCATGGGCTGCCCATAACATACCGTAGATTATTTTCTGCTGGCATTGGGACCAGAAGTAAAAAACCACCAAGGAAGAAGTGTAAAGACAAAACAGCTCTGCAGCCACATAAAATGAATGAATAAATAAATAAATGATTTTGAGAATAAACCACAGATACTGTCACTAGACACAAAGACAGACAGATAAACCTCCTTTAAGCATATCAGAGACAAACCATCCATTTTCTGGTTCTCTTTCACCTAGACAGAACAGCTTTTCTGTATTGATCCAAGTGAAGCAGGCTGGCACAGAAAATGGAGAAAACATAGACAGTTCTATCTTTTTAGAAAAGAAAACAGGGCAAAATAACAACTTTAACCCTGGTATCAGTGGTGAAGCCTACTGATGCCTTAGATCATCTGGATGAGCTATTGTATCTACTCATCTTACACAGTGTTAACCTAGTCTCGGAGGAAAAGCTTCCAAGCAGCTGTGTGTCTCACATTTATGCATGGGGAGAGCATCAGGGTTAACAGCTGTATACATCCATTCCTACCATCCCGTAGGATTTGGCTCTGGTATACCCTGGAAGAAGTATCTTCATTCCAGCCCATTGTCAGGTGTACCTCTAATATCACAAGCTTTGTTTTAACACTGCATCAGAATATGCAGAAGCAGAGACAGAGAACATAGCAACACAGAGTAATGTAGTATGCATATATTCTAACTTTTTCACCCTATGAGTCTGGCAAAGAAATAGCATTCTTAGTAGAATGGGGGGAAAAAAAAATTCTAACATCTGGCAGATGATACTGAAATTCATTTAGGAACCAAGTCAGGTTGATCCACTTCCCTTTAAGAATTTCGTATAGCTTGGCAAACATTTCAGAAGTTTCTTTTTCCCCCTTCTCTCTAGCCTCTTTTATATTCAGTAGCTGCTTCTTGTAGGAGTAGATTTTTTTTAATTACTTATTATTGCAACTGTCATGAAAGATTCAGTAATTCAAGTTTCTCTTCCTACTTTTTATATATAACTTTGAGAATAAATTAAGCAACATCCTTTATTGTAATTCTTCTGCATTCAGCTTTTCTGCAGCAAAGCTGGAAAATATTTTTTTCTTCCCAGAAGAGGAAGGAAATCTTTCTAGAAGCTTCAAAACCTCTTGAAGACTGGTTGTTTACCTGAAATCAGAGGCTTTTTAAATATCTGCTGCAAAGTCACCTTCTTGAAATGCATTGCCAGCTATAATTTAGGCATTGGAAATTTGCTAACTCTCCTGGCTAAGCAAAACAGATGGTGCACACGAGCACTTGATTTATTCCTAGCATCACAGGGACCAGGTTTTAGGAAATACTCAGACAAGCTGTGTTTCTTCATGGCAAATGCTCAAATCCTAATTGTAAATAAAGCTCCATGAAAAGCAGAAAAGTCACTGAAGGTTATGGATGCACACTGTCTGTCTATCTCAAGCAACTCTGAATACAATTAACCACACTTTGTAGCTTGAGCAAGTTCTGCATATGTCTACTCATGAATTTACGTAGTAAACCTAAAGAAGTTGCAGACAATTTTGCAAGAAACAATCAACTCATGGAAGGAAGGAAGGAATGATAACACATCTATTAAAGTAGAAACAACATCACAAAGGTGCTCAGTAAAAATTGGGAATACAAGTAAGAGTCAGCATACATCTTTCAAGATAAGTACTCTCCTTAAACACTCAGACTCCTTGGCCTTCTGTCTGAATAGGATTAAAGCTCTTAAGATACATTGAATGTTACATTCATAAAGAGAAAGTAGCAACTAAGAAAGAAAAAAAAAGAAAGAAAATCTGGAGTAGTTTTTGAGGAAGCTTGAGAGTCAAGAATAACTAATTTCTGTAGGACACAAATTAAAGACACTCTAAATAGGGTTATAACTGCAATTATATTTATAATCTTAATTTGATGCTATTAAATTGATTTTTTCCTAACAAATTGAAAACATTCTATTGGAAGTCCAGAAGATCCTTCCCCATAACTGCAAAAGAAACAAATTTAATACCTGCTTTGATATTACAACTTTAACAGAAAACAAGCATCCTTAACTTCTTTTAAAACATAAGATCCCCTCAGCCAAAGTCCATCTTCTAATGGTAATGGCTTTTCACTCTTGAACTGATTATTTAACATTTGTTTCCGAGACAGGACTTAAAGTAAATTCTTCCATATAGATTACATGCAGGGTAATACAAGGAATAAGTTGCTATATATCCAGACAGAATTAAAAGAAAAAAATTCAAATTTTAAAATAAGGTCATTTTTCTCCCCCCAGTTATTATACACTCTGAAAAGGAACCCAAATGGGACAGTTCCACATTCATTACGGATCTATTGCCTTTGCTGTGAAATGAAGCATTGGGATTTAGATAACGTATTCTGCTGCATCTGTTAAGAGTGCAGGAACAGCCATAATCTGGTTCAAAATTTCACATAGGCCCAATGAAACTGTGAGCCACTGCTGCATCTTGAATAGCTCTGGGTTAGAGATAAAATAAAACACACTTCTTTTTTTACTTTTTTTTTTTTTTTTAAAGAAGTTCTACAGGTAGCCTTCTCTACGGAATTCCATTGTTCTCCAGCTGTGCACTGCTATAGTGAGCACTTCAGGTCATTCTTGCTTAAGGTGAAGTTGCTGCTATGGATAGAAAAAGAAAGCTAAGGAATCCCTCAAAGAAAATTAGGGGATTTGGGTCCACTGCTTTAGTGACAACAGCATTGCCTTTGGGAGGCAAAGGAAGAAAAAGAATTTGTAAACAAGGCTGCTACATCTCTGAACATATTTAAATAATACATTTTAAATTATTTCAAATGGTATTTTCTGCTAATAGTCACTGAGAGACTTTCACTGCAGTCAACACCTCCCGTTTCACTAGGGGTACCTGTTTCTAACAAACTAAAAGTTTTAACTCCTAATTGCATGCAATACAAATAATAAGCATGATAATCAGACTTCAAAGTAAACTGATTGGGAGCCAGGAAAAAACAAAGTTTACATCTGTAAAGTAACTTTATACCCTTTTTCATTCACTCTGCAGAAGCAATTCAAAATCTTCTCACCTCTTTGAGGTAGCGCATCAAACGACATAGAGCATTCACCAGTGACAAGGTAAACCCGGTGAGGCCTTGACTTCTCTCAGTTTTTTGAACCTCACGACCTGTACATCGCTCATACTCCTCCAATTCATGCTCCACTTCACGTATCATGTGGTTGAGAATATCTAGGCTGGATTTGTTGTCCCTCCGAAGGTCAGTGGGGATTGAATTAGCTGGAGAATCATCTCTGCTCTGTCTTGCAGAGTTCTGTGCAGTTTGTTTTCTTTTCACTGGAAGGGGGGAGGGAAGAAAGCATCATTGGAATTTCAAGGTGTATAGAAAGCTTTGCAGTACCAATGAAATTACATTTTTTATTGACATAAATCAAAGGAGAGGCCCTCTCTTGTCCTGAGCTGAAAAGGACCATCAAAGAATGTCCCCAGTCATTCCAGTTATTTTCAGATCATCAAAAACCACATTTTCTACCACAACATTAGTACCTCTCAAGTATGATTGTTTGGTGCTTTTATCTTAGATACCTGTTCCTGCTTTTCTCCTTCTCAGTTAAAAGCATAGAAACAGTTTGCCATTGAACAGCCAGTGAAAAATATCAGCTGCTTTCAGGTCTCATATTTAGTGAGCAACTCTTTTACAACAATCCTTTCATGTTAGAGTTTGTATCTGATGTCAGTCCCCACATGCAAATGCGTGTAGAATATGGGGACTGAAATGCATTGTAATTGTGCAGCATAGACTAGAAAGCTATATCAGACATAAAAAAGCCCTGCACAGCAGAGAACTCCACAGCTAGCCAGGTAATGTGTAGCATCAAAGGGCCATATTTGTGGTTCCTAGACCCCTATGGACTTTGCTTCGCCAACAAACATGCAGAATACAGGGCAATACACTACACACGGGGCTGTGGAATGTCCATCCATAGAGATGCTCAAGACTCGGCTGGACAAGGCCCCCTCAATCAAACTTTGCAGTTAGCCCCGCGATGACGTCCAAAGATCCCTTTTAACCTACATTTTCTTATGATATTAAGGACCCTGGTCAAAGGGACATATGTTATTTCTAAAAGTACTAAACTTTTTGCTGCAATTTGCTTTTGTTTCCTCGAGTTTGGGTTCAGCACTTGTCTCACAGTGTAAGTGGAGTCTACAGCCTCTTCTTCGTCTTCATTCTGAAGTCTTGAATGGATTCTCTTGACTACATTTGTAGCATTGAGGGCTGATTTAAACACAAAACAAAACAAAAAACCCACACATTAAATATTTCAGGTATGTTCTAAATAGTAATTTGTTCTAAAGTAATTTTATTAGAAGAGCTGGCTTTTTAGTCTGGAAATTCATCTGAGCCACATTAGTATGTCTCTACCTCTCACCCCCACCCAGAAAAGGAATTCCAGACAGGATCCTGTGAACAGCCCTTGAGAGGCTGTGATTAGGCAAATCCAACCTGACTGATCCAATGATGGAGAAACAGTTGTTGGAGTCAAAGGCATATTTGATTCCTGTGATAAAGTAGTTTTTCTCATATCCTTTTCAGCCCACAACTGAGAATTCACCAAGGAATTTTCTTCTCTCAATAACCGAAGTAGCCTACATTCAAAACAAGCATAACAGTGAATTGTAATAGGATAATAGCATGATTCTAGATTATCTGTACAGTCTAAAAAGAGCTTTTTAAAATATCTGTAACTGCTCAGGTGAGTTCCTTGCTCACATTCAATCCCAGTCTGAATGTTACAACAAGGGGTTTCCCTAGAATTCTGAGATCAGGAAAGGAGGCGGGGGGG